CATTTCCACCGCCACAAGGTTGGATTTTGAGGAGTGAAATATATAAAAATTGATAACTTTGAAATCCTTGTATAAGTAGAAAGGTTATTTCCATCTAACAAGAGTCATTCTTGAAAATTTTAATGAAAATTCGGTAAAAAATAAAAAAATTGCAACTTTCATGTTGTAGCTGTGAACTTGTGATTAAAAAAAAAAAGCGAATGGTATTTAAATGTTTTTGTTAATATTTTTAAAGAAATAAAGATGTAGAAAGAGGGGAGTGATGGAATGGTTAAACCTCCCAAACCCTAATCTTCCTTATATACAAGAGAGGCAAAGAACAGAGAACCGGCAAATAGTTTCTGTACTATATATATATGAGAACACCGCCATAGGGTTTCTCTCCCTGCGTTGTGGTTTGGTTCTCTGTTTTGTCGGCCGACACGTCGAAGGAGGGAGGGAGATGGCGCAGTCGCTGGAGCTGTTGTTGATACAGTTCTTGATGCCGGACAACGACGCGCGGCGGCAGGCGGAGGAGCAGATAAAGCGGCTATCCAAGGACCCGGCGGTGGTGCCCGCCCTTGTCCATCACCTCCGCACCGCCAAGACCCCCAACGTTCGCCAGCTCGCCGCCGTCCTCCTCCGCAAGAAGATCACCGGCCACTGGGCCAAGCTCTCCCCGTCCCTCAAGCTCTCCGTCAAGCAGGCCCTCATTGACAGCATTACCCTTGAGCACAGGTTCCTCCATCGTCTCTGGCTCAATTCTTGAATCCTCCCTCCTTTATGCTTTTTCTTTGGTGATCAAGATTTGCTCATCAAGAACTCCGTGGTTCTTGGATACTAGAATTTAGCGGTTTCCTGAAAAGGATTCATCGATGTACGTGCCGGTGCTTCTTGTTGTCCGCGAGGGTTTCGTGATCTTATCCTACTATGAAATATTACACAACTCCATTAGTTCTAGTTTCCGCAGGTCGTCCGGTAATTCATGTATATTTTTGTTGTAGTATGACCGTGGTTGTCCTTTGAATTGTTTAATTAAATTGTGATCGTGCAGTCTCATCTAATTTGATATGATTTAACCAATTTTGATTTGATATGATAGTAGCATTAAGTATAGTGTGAAATTTGCCTTGCGCTTTCTCACTGACCCTTCTTTGTTGCCTGCTTATTGGACTATCTTTTCATCAATTTGAAAGAGCAAAGGCTTGAACATATTGGACTTGTATATCATGGTTCCAAGTCTTGGGTGTTGGACATCTGTTGATCCTTATTCAGATTGGTATAGAACAGGGCCGCCATCCGGTTCTTACCGGTTTACTCGGCACATGGTTCATTGGTATATGCCATTGTACCAGATGAGGAGGAGGATAGGTACCACAGCCAGCTCCAAACAGTGGGAGTGTCATATCACATGTTTGAGGGGTGGGGGTGTGGTGACAGACAGAGGTGGGGTATCAAAGGTGTTCTTATTGGTAACTCTGATTTGGATCAGAACTGTACAAAACGGGCTCTCCATTGGATCATTATTTACTACCTGTTTCATATTGGTCCCGGTCATTATTCAAACCCTGCTATACGTCACGACAGCCCACTCTCATTATTGTGATTCTGGCCTTATCCAACTATATGCTACTTGTTATATCTAAAGCTTACCACAGCGTATATATTGTTTTCTTTTGCATTTTTCCCTAGCAAATAGCATTCCTTAATCAATTTGAGTTTTTACAAGTTGAATGGTAGTCCATGTATATTTTTGTTGTCACTTAAAACCTTTGCTTTCCCTTGCTGTTTGTCATTTTAAGCATCAAATATAGTAATTATTGCCATGTGCATTTTTGCTCAAAGGATGTGGTGGTTTGTACAGCCCTCTTGTGAGGCGAGCAAGTGCCAATGTTGTGAGCATCATTGCCAAGTATGCTGTGCCAGCTGGAGAGTGGCCTGAATTGTTACCTTTTCTTTTCCAATGCAGTCAAAGTTCACAAGAGGACCATAGAGAAGTAAGTTATCTTTTCCACTGCTTCTTTTCCAAGTTAGAATTCTTGCATGTTTTTGCATAATCGTATATTGGCAACTGACTGATATAATTAGTGTAAAGAAAAATATTCTAATACCAGAAATGAAGCAACAGGAAATAAAGCAGTAGGTGATAAAAAGAGGTATTGAAATGGAGGAAGATATGTAAGGAGGAGCTAGAAGGAAAGAACTGCTGAAGAGTGATATGTTGAATTAGAGAAGATAAAGCGAGACAAAAAAACAAATTAGCACGTGTATTTGGCAGTTCAAGTATTTTAGTTGTGGATTAACACCTAGAATCTAAGCTATCTAATCTTATCATAATATTTAATGGTTGATTGTTGGACTGAGTGGAAGAGATTTTAGTAATAAATAGTTATTTATATTTAGTGGTTTGATTGGAGTGGGTAGAAGGGATTTAGTAATAAACAGTCATGATTTTAGGAATAAATAAAGTTAGTCTGCTCTGTTCAAATAGAATTCCTTCAAACATAGTATTAACTTTGAAAAGTTGTAGTTGTAAGAAAAGGTATGGATGAATTTTTAATCTGCAATCTTGTGTAAAAAAAAAATTGTCAGTATTGACTGCAATTCAAGTGGCAATTTTTATCAAATTCAGTAAATTCTGTTCTCATGTGTAACAATCAATATGGCATGACAAGTAGTCTCAGAGAAAGAAACAGAGTTGAGGCTGTGGTTTGCATGAGTTCATGCTGTAATTAATAATGTCAGTATAAAGGTTTCAGATATAAAGTGAGGCAGTAGTATTTCAAGGACTGTTGAAACATGAAAACCTTACCCACATGCTAGAATTACCTTTGCTATATGCAGACCCATGTTGTGCAGTGGACTGGCTGCTCTGTGCTGTTAGTGTATGCTGCAATGTGTCAGTATTTATATGTGTTTGACAAAGGAGAATTGGAGGAAGAACTAAGGAGAAAAGGGAAAATAGAAAGGCACATCCTTGTTCCCATAGACCTCATCCCTGTCAGAAGTGGAAACTCGATGCTTGGCTTCTTAAGCCGTTGTGTCACGAACGGTCGTCGCGTGCCCGCAACAACTCTGTTCAACGAACCATTCGTCGTTTGTGTTTACATGTACAGCTGCGTGATAGCATGTTTTGGCTTGGTTTTATGTCCTTTTGCCTGTAAAAATGTAAGTTCGAACAAGTTTCAGCGCTACAGTGCGATCGCTCACCGAACCGAGCAAAACAACCCAAAACAGCTTCGTTTTTGCGTGCCACGGGCTGTTTTCTGCAGCTCGCTTCTGCACGCAAAACATCAGCCATCTTAGCACCCTGGAACCACCCGGGTGGCACCATAAGGGATGGAGTTTCGGTATAGTGTCGGGCATCGAACAACCTTTTGCAAGTTCGCACGTTACTTTGACGGGAACTTGTTGTTGCGCCCGACATTCGGTGAGCAGCTGTTTGTGGACTTGCAGCTGTTCGTTCAACCTTCTAAAGTCATTGTTTTCCTCCTCTCCCTTTTTTCTCTTGTGCACGCAAGGTGCTCGCTGAATTGCTTGTAAAGTTTCCCCTTTTCGCGAGACGTCGGGACTTGTTCGTCGCTCATTCTTCGAACTAATCAACTTTCTCTTTTACAGATCCTTCGGGACCTGCGAGAGATTGCAAGTGGGCTGATCTTTGCGGATGCATATCACAAGGGCGAGGCGCGACTTAGGCAATGCAAGCTAAGTTCGCGTCTTTGCCGCAATGGTGCCTCACGACTTATGCAATTCCAGCTAAGTTCGCGACATTGTGGTATCAAAGCCGGCAAGCAATTCGAGCAAGCAACGAAGGAGCTTCGCATTTTCACAATGGCAAAGCATCGTGGCGAATCAAGCAAGACGGGACAAGCTTGACCCTTGCCCCAAGCAGTCGTAGGTGGGTTGCAAGTGCATACTTGCTCTCATGTCGTTGGAGCCACTCAAGTGTAGCACGACGATGAACATAACGAGCGAGAAGTTGGTTACTCTCCGCGAGCGGAGGAGGCCCAATCTGGAGCGTTAACCGGGAAGAAGAGCCATAAGGAGAGACTCACAGCGGCGGAAACCCGCTTGGATGTTCTTGAAGCGAGCTTGGAGGAACTCTACCATGGCCAACGAAGGCTTGCTGGGGTAGAGAGCTTGCGCCCTAGTCGACCGATTGTCAAATGACACCAAAGACTCTGTGCAACACCTGCAGGAAGTCGTGGTGGAACTCACTTCTAGGATGACCATGCTCACGAGGGCCCTGAATGCGGGAGGAAGCAACACCCGCGTTGCACCGGCACAAAACTTGAGAGCACCCGAGCTGCATTGTTATGGAGGTGCCCGAGATGCCAAAGAGCTCGAGAATTTTCTGTTCGACATGGAACAATACTTTCAAGCTACGAGGCCTGATTCTGAAGAAAACAAAGTTTCTATAGCAACCATGTATCTGAACGGAGATGCAAAACTTTGGTGGCGAACCCGTTGGGAGGAGATCCAACAAGGTCGGTGTCAAGTTGACACATGGGAGGACTTGAAGCGGGAGTTAAGAACTTAGTTTCTATCGGAGAACACAGAGTTCGTCGCAAGAAGGAAGTTGAGACAACTCTGCCAAAATACTTCAATTCGAGACTACGTGAAGCAAATTTCTGCGCTAATGCTGGACATACATGACATGTCCGAAAAGGATAAGCTGTTCAGCTTCCTCGATAGTTTGAAACCATGGGCTCAACAAGAACTACATCGAAGGAATGTCGCCGATGTGATCGGGGCAATTGCTGTCGCAGAAAGGCTCACCGTCTTTGTTTCCTCTGAAAACCCGAGAAAAAGGAAACAATCTTCAGGCAATCGCCCTCCAAAATATTCTCGAGGGAAGGAGCTCGGGGGCGAACAAAGGAAGAAGAGTTCTTACAAAGGGCCATGCCCGAAAGGCAAGGCCCCGAAACCTAGCGGATGCTTCTTGTGCGGAGGGTCGCACATGGTAAGAGAGTGCCCACAAAAACAGGCACTCAATGCTTTAACAACTTCCATCCATCCCCCCCGATCGAACAAGGGCAAGGCTGTCGCTCTTAGTTCGAGTAGTTCTGAATCCAGCAACAACGGTGAAGAGTCGCAAGGACCCCGGATGGGAGCAATGCGTTTGTTGAACGCCATGTGGGGTCAAGTGGGTGAGAACACGAAGACAAAACTATAAAAAGCAGGAAGTGGCGAGCTAATGTACGTAGACATAAAGCTCAATGGCCAAACGACTCGTGCAATGGTGGACACGGGCGTTACCCACAACTTTATTGTCGATCGAGAAGTAAAGCGACTTGGGCTGATCTTGGAGAAGAGCCCAAGTCGAATGAAGGCGGTGAACTCGGAGGCCAAGCGAATCTCCGGGTTGGCAAAGGGAGTTCCCATCAAGATCGGAACATGGAGCGGGAGCATAAACATGATGGCGATGCCACTGGACGACTTCCAAATGATTCTTGGAATGGAATTCATGCATGCGACGAAGTTGGTGCTAATGCCGTTCTTAAACTCCTTATGCATGATGGGAGGTGATGACCCCTGTGTGGTTCCCGTTTCTCGGAAAGGAACCAGGGAACCCCAACATATTTCGGCATTACAACTGAAGAAAGGGGTACGAAAAGACGAACTAATATTCGTGGCTGTTATGAAGCTAGAGCCACTCGACGAGAAGGCCATTCATGAACTGTTGTGCTGGCGAACGTCCTGAAGGAGTTCACGCATGTTATGCCACCCGAGTTGTCGATGACTCTACCGCCACGCAGAGGCGTGGATCACCACATCGAGCTGGAGCCAGGAGTGAAGTCTCCAGCGAGACCACCCTACTGCATGCCCCCACTAGAGTTGGCAGAGCTCAGAAAGCAGTTAGGTGAACTGTTAAGCGGTGGTCTCATCCGCAGTTCTAAAGCACCATTCGGAGCTCTAGTTCTCTTCCAGAAGAAACAAGATGGGAGCCTTCGACTATGCGTCGATTACCGAACCCTCAATAAAGTGATGGTGAAGAACAAGTATCCCATCCCGCTCATCGCGGATTTGTTCGACCAATTGGGCAAAGCCAAGTATTTCTCAAAACTCGACCTTCGGTCGGGGTATTGGTAGGTGCGCATTGTTGAAGGTGACGAAGCGAAGACTGCCTGTGTGACCAGGTATAGAGCGTCTGAGTTCTTGATGATGCCTTTCGGCTTAACCAACGCTTCGGCCACGTTTTACACTCTCGTGAACCAGCTATTCAAAGAGTATTTGGATAAGTTCGTGGTCGTCTACTTGGATGATATCGTCGTCTACAATCAAATGCTCGAGGAGCATGTCAAGCACCTTCGGATAATTTTCAAGGTTCTCAAGGAGAACACTTTGTTCGTGAAAAGGGAGAAATGCTACTTTGCTCAAATGGAGATCTTATTCTTGGGGCATCGAATCGGTGATGGCTCCATTCAGATGGACAAATCGAAGGTGCAAGCGGTTGCGGAATGGCGAACCCCAAAGAAGGTGCCTGAGTTGAGATCCTTGGTTTCGTCAATTACTATCGACGCTTCATAGCGGGGTATTCGAAGCGTGCAACTCCACTAACGGAGTTGCTGAAGGAGCAGCCTTGGAGGTGGTATGATAAATGTGAAATTGCATTTTAAGATCTGAAGGTTACTGTGTTGGAAGAACCAGTGCTCAAATTGCCAGACTATGGGGAGCCCTTCGAAGTCTATACAGATGCTTCAAACTTCGTTATTAGGGGAGTACTCATGCAGGAGAGTCATCCGATAGCCTACGAGAGCCGCAAACTCAACGAGACCGAGCGGTGGTATCCAGTGCACGAGAATGAAATGGCAGCGATGATCTACTTTCTATGAGTTTGGCGACACTACCTTCTTGGATCGCGATTTATGTTAAGGACAGACAACATCGCTTTGAGCTATTTTCAAACTCAGAAGAAACTCTCCCCAAAGCAAGCACGATAGCAGGACTTTCTGGCTGAGTTTGATATGGCAATGGAGTACAAGCTTGGAAAGGCAAATGTCATGGTTGACGCATTGAGTCGGAAAGTGGAGCGTGTGAATGCCGTACAATTGGAGGGCAGAGGCCAAGCAAGTCAATTGCACTCCAACTTCCTTTCCAGGATCAGGGATGCTCTGTACAGTGATCCCCAGGCAGTAACCCTGATGCAGCTCATTAAAGAAAGCAAGACACGATGGTTTTGGGTTTACGAGGGACTCGTTTACACCAAAGGGAATAGGGTTTATGTTCCTCGAGTGGACAATCTGAGGCGTGAATTCTTAAGAAAGTGTTACGATTCCCTTTGGGCGGGACACCCAGGCATTCACAGAACTTTGGCTCTCGTGGAGAGGGCCTTCTACTTGCCGAAGATGGGGACTGATGTAGAGGAATATGTTCGAACGTGCCTCACTTGCCCACAAGACAAGGTGGAGCAGCGGAAGCCGGTGGGACTGTTGGAGTCGTTGTCCGTACCAGAAAGGTCGTGGGAGAGCATTTCCTTGGATTTCATATCTAGCTTGCCTAGGGAGACTCGGATCGATACTCGTGGTGGTCGATCGATTTTTAAAGTATGCAACTTTCATTGTTGCTCCCCTACACTGTTCAGCAGAGGAGGCGACCAAGCTGATGATGAAGGATGTGGTGAAGTATTGGGGAGTCCCGTACAATATCATCAGTGATCGAGACGCTCAGTTCCTGGGACGATTATGGACCGAGCTATTCAAATTGTTGGGGTCGAAGTTATATTTCTCCACAAGCCTCCACCCCCAGACGGATGGCTAGATCGAAAGGATAAACTTGCTCCTAGAGCAATATCTTCGGCACTACGTGAGTGCCAACCAACGAGATTGAGTGAAGTTGTTGGACATTGCCCAATTCTCCTACAACTTGCAGCGGAGCTCTGCGTCTAACAAGAGCTCCTTCGAGATCATTATAGGGCAACAACCGTTAACTCCTCATACCATGGTAATCGGGTATATTGGGAGTAGTCCATCAGCTTACCACTTCGCAAAGGAGTGGCACCGAAATGCAGATATTGCGTGAGCTTACTTGGAGAAGGCGGCAAAAAGAATGAAGAAGTGGGCAGACTTGGGAAGGCGACCGCAAGAGTTCAAGATCGACGATTTGGTGTTGGTCAAGCTCCAACCAGCATCACTCCAATTCTTTAGGAACAAAGTACACAAAGGATTGGTGCGCAAGTATGAAGGGCCCTTCCCAATTATCAACAGGGTGGGCAACGTCTCTTACAAGTTGCAGCTGCCGGCATGGTTCAAAATTCACAATGTTCTTTACGCCAGCAACTTGAAATCCTACCACTTGGATCCGCAAGATGCTTCCCGAAGTGTTCCAACTCGGCTACCCCCCACCAGAGCCTCCTATGAGAAGCGAGTTGAAACCATTTTAGCGGACCGCAAGATAAAGCTACCCACTGGAGCTGAGCAGACTGAGTACTTGGTGAAGTGGCGAAAGCTTCCCCGAACTGAAGCCAGTTGGGAGCCTGAAGATGCCCTACGACATGAAGAAGCAATCATCAACAACTATCAACAAGCGTCGACGAGGGCGTCGACAGTTTGAGTGGGGGAGAATATCACGAACGGTCGTCGCGCGCCCGCAACAACTCTGTTCAACGAATCGTTCGTCGTTTGTGTTTACATGTACAACTGCGTGGTAGCATGTTTTGGCTTGGTTTTATGTCCTTTTGCTTGTAAAAATGGAAGTTCGAACAAGTTGCAGCGTTACAGTGCGACCGCTCACCGAATCGAGCAAAACAACTCCGCTTTCGCGTGCCACAGGCTGTTTTCTGCAGGCCGCTGCTGCACGCGAAACGTCAACCATCTTAGCCCCCTGGAATCACCCGGGTGGCACCATGGGGGATGGGGCTTCAGTATAGTGTCGGGCGTTGAACAACCTTTCGCAAGTTTGCACGTTACCTTGACGGGAACTTGTTGTCGCGCCCGACACCCGGTGAGTAGTTGTTTGTGGACTTGCAGCTGTTCGTTCAACCTTCTAAAGTCCTTGTTTTCCTCCTCTCCCTCTTTTCTCTTGTGCACGCAAGGTGCTCGCTGAATTGCTTGTAAAGCTTCTCCTTTTCGAGAGACGTCGGGACTTGTCCGTCCCTCGTTCTTCGAACTAATCAACTTTCTCTTTTACAGGTCCTTCGAGACCTGCGAGAGGTTGCAAGTGGGCTGATCTTTGCGGGCGCATATCACAAGGGCGAGGCGCGACTTAGGCAACGCAAGCTAAGTTCGCGTCTTTGCCGCAATGGTGCCTCACGACTTAGGCAATTATAGCTAAGTCCATGACAGTTGGTTGCATGTGTGATGATCATATTGCTGTCAACTGTGGAAACATTGGCACTGATCTTTAGTTATAACATTTTGACTAGTTCGGTGACTGAACCATGTTATCCTGAAACCAAACAAAAAAAAAGTGATTTGTGGACTGGTACGAGCCAGCCATATAACTAGTACAGTGCCAGTATTTCTTGCTCAAAAGCAACTAATAGTGTCTCGATTCTCACATTTTTGTGTCTGGTATTCTTTGTTTAAGTGACTTTAGCTTCATGTTTTCTGAATGCTTAAACATTGCACTAAAGATGTGCCTTTGACTATGATGCACCAAAGGATTTGTTTATTTATCTCACCATATGAATATACTGTTTTGAATTTGAAATGGTCTCGGTGGCTGACCTTCTGGTTTAAGTCTAGACCTTGTTTTTTGACAATTTCAGTGTCATCTACCTGTTGTTCTCATCATTGCATTTCAGTAAAATTGGCTGACACCATTTGACAGCAACAATAGTAGTTTTAAAACCAGATTATGGTATCCCGATCAATTTTATGGATTTGTGTGTTGCATCCAGATGTTCTGTTGAGCTATTGATTGTTTTCTTTTCTGTGATTGCATTGAATGATTCGTCTAATTTTTGAAGGGTTATGCTTATTCATTCTTCTGGCATTCTGCTAGGTGGCCCTGATCCTTTTCAGCTCTTTAACTGAAACAATTGGGCCGACATTTCAATCCCATTTGGAAGATCTTCAGCCTATTCTGCTTAAATGCCTGCAAGATGAGACAAGCACTCGTGTTAGAGTTGCTGCTCTGAAGTATGTATTGTGCTGTTTATGAATATGTATGTCCTGTTTTTGTAGAAGTGTCTTCTGTGTGACTTATATCATGATTTGTATGGGCATCAATCTGACCCATCTTCATTAATCTGGCAGGGCTGTTGGATCTTTTATAGAGTTTATCAATGATGGTGCAAATGTAGTAAGTTTGTTGACCATTCCATTCTATTTTCCTGTTTCATATGCTGTTTCATCTATAGAAACTGTTGGGATTCCGTTAATATTATGGTCTAGTCTAATCTGTTATTATTGTTTTTTTTTTTGCAAACATGTAAAATGCTAGTCTTTAACATCTAGGTAAACCATGTTTTTGATCCCTTTGTTTTCATGATAAATTATGCTTGAAAAGGTACTAAACTAAAACATAAATTAAGCAAGTTGTGGAACAAATATTCTCCCTCTCTTGCCAAATTAGCTTTTTCATATTTTCACAGTTGTTCCTTCCTTACTAAGGGATTTGGGTCATAATCTAGAAGCTGACATTAATCTCTAGCTGGTTGTTTTGTCAAGAAAGTTATAGCTTGTAATAGAATATCATGGTCTCAATCATGGTTCACCTTACTGGTTTGTATCGCTGTCCAGATCAGCCATCGATACAGTATGTACCGATGTACCGAGTGTATCGCTCATACCGATCCCTTGTTGGACTGGTATGTATTGCCCATACTGAGCGGTATATCGTGGTATGGAGAACCTTAGTCTCAATGAGAAACGTCTTAGCTTTGCTGTCAAAATTACTTAAGGAGTTACTTTTTGATTGCTTGATGACTTGTACATCAATCCAAATCCCAGCTTATACCTGATGTGGAACTATAGTGTCTCACACTCTTTTCACTTCAAATCTTGATGTCCTTTTAAAATCATTCGCTTCAGGGAGAGCATGTTGTCACATATAACTGTAGTTATGGATCTGCACTTTCGGTATTTCAGTATCAAATTTTATATTATAACTGCTAGTTACCAGCAACGAGTTAACAAAAAAAAGAATCAGGATGAAAAGGAAAAGCGATCTTTTAAGCACAAGACATTTGAATGACTGTTTTCAACAAAAACGGGATACATATACGCCCACAAAAGAGTTGTTAGTTCATGCATTTTCAAATTTGACCTAGTCAACCCGTCTTATTTTTCTCACTTATTTTTGGAGATAATAATATGCTTTTGCATGAAGGTCCCAAATTAGGATCACCCTAGGAACTAATATTGAACTCACGTTGCTTGTATTATAAAGCATGTGCCAATGCAGTAACAGATATCAGGGAAATGACGTATCATGATATACTCTATATGAAAGCTCCCATAGCTTATGATTTTGACTCAAACAATGACTTGATGAATAATAAAAGGGTTTTACCTTGTTTGTTATTGTGGGTTGCTTGTCATTTGGAAACTGAAAAGTTTGCAGCTTCTGATCATGTTCTTAAGAATCATTAAAAGAGGGGCCAAGTACGTTAATTTGATAAAGATTTCAGTATTTAGTTCGCTGATAGGTTTATCTTGACCCAATGGACTGTTTATCTTGAACTCCCATTTGGAACCTGTTGCATTATGTTACACTTGTTTAGGTTCTACTAGCTGCAGAGAAACCAAAGTTCATTGTTTGTTAATTTAAAATTGGTCAAAATTTTGTTCTGCCACTGTTTTGCAGGTAAAGTTATTTCGAGATTTTATTCCAAGTGTCTTAAATGTGTCAAGGCAATGCCTTGCTAATGGCGAGGAAGATGTCGCCTCTATTGCTTTTGAAATATTTGATGAGCTCATTGAATCTCCTGCTCCACTTCTTGGGGATTCTGTGAGGTCCATAGTGCAATTTTCTCTTGAAGTTTGTTCAAGCAACAATTTGGACTTGAACATACGACACCAGGTTTGACTGATCCACATGTTGAACATTTAGTATCTTTATGCAGATCATTTGTGAGTTCAATCTATTGGTAATTCCAGGCAATTCAGATAATTTCATGGTTGGCAAAATTCAAGGCTTCTTTCCTAAAGAAGCACAAGTTGGTTGTACCTATTCTCCAAGTTATGTGTCCTCTCCTTACAGAAACTGCCGATGGAGATGATGATTCTGATCTTGCTGCTGATCGAGCTGCTGCAGAGGTTATTGATACGATGGCCATAAATATACCTAAGCAAGTGTTTCCACCAATTTTTGAATTTGCTTCATTGAACTTCCATCATACTAATCCCAAGTTCCGGGAGGCTTCCGTCACATCATTAGGTGTTGTTTCTGAGGGTTGTTTTGAGATGTTAAAAGAAAAGTTAGAACATGTTTTACACATTGTTTTGGGAGCATTAAAGGATCAAGAACAAATGGTAAGAGGAGCTGCATCATTTGCATTGGGCCAGTTTGCCGAACATCTGCAGCCTGAGATTTTGTCTCACTATGAAAGTGTGCTTCCCTGTATTCTGAATGCTCTAGAGGATCCCTCAGATGAAGTAAAGGTAACATGTCTGCAAGCTGTGGCAACGTGACATGCTATATCAGTATGACATCAAGTTCTCATGTTTTCTGGTTTGCAGGAAAAGTCATACTACGCACTTGCAGCATTTTGTGAAGACATGGAAGAAGAAATTCTTCCTTATTTGGATGCTCTAATGGGGAGATTAATCATTTCTCTACAAAACAGTCCTCGAAATCTACAAGAGACATGCATGGTCTTCCCCTAATTCACTATTTTTGGAATATTAACATATTAAGATTACATTGTAAATTGAGATATTTTGTGTTTCATATTCTTACTGCAGTCTGCAATTGGTTCGGTAGCATCTGCTGCCGAGGAGGCTTTTATTCCATATGCAGAGAAAGTTCTTGATCTAATGAAAATTTTTATGGTGCTGACAAATGATGAGGACTTGAGAGCACGTGCCAGAGCGACTGAATTAGTTGGAATAGTTGCAATGGCAGTTGGTCGAACAAGAATGGAACCCATACTACCTCCTTTCATCGAGGCTGCACTTGCTGTGAGTTATTGATGCAAAGTTTTCAGTATTTTCTTTTATGTTCACCCCAGGTTCAAGTCTTATATGTCTATTGTCAGGGTTTTGCATTAGACTTCAGTGAGCTTCGGGAGTATACTCATGGATTCTTTAGCAATATGGCTGAAATTTTGGATGATGGTTTTACACAGGTAACGTATATTTTATTTTGGCTATTGATTCCCTTTATTAAGATTATCTTTGAAATAACATAATGCAGCATGTTCTTTGGTACAGTACCTTCATCATGTTGTACCTCTAGTATTTACTTCATGTAATCTAGACGATGGCTCCGCAGTGGATATTGATGACTCTGATAGTGTGGACAATGGATTTGGAGGTGTGTCCTCCGATGAAGATACAAATGACGAACCAAGAGTTCGTAATATTAGTGTAAGAACTGGGGTGTTGGATGAAAAGGCTGCAGCAACTCAAGCTATTGGCTTGTTTGCTCTTCATACCAAGAGCTCTTATGCCCCGTATCCTTATAATGTGAGGTTGTTATTAGTTTATTCATGCATGCAGCTGCCTTTTTTTTCTTTAATTGATACAGTTATATGGAGGAGTCATTGAGGATTTTGGTTAGACATGCGGGATATTTTCATGAAGATGTCAGGCTTCAAGCTATCATAGCTTTAAAACGTGGGTGACCATTTCTTTTAGCATCATTACCACCATTAAACTTATTCTTCCTAGCAAAATTCTTGTATTCTGTTCTTAATTTGTTTTCATTTTTGCATATACAATCTTTTCTCTAAAATTTGGTCCTATGGCTTATCTTTTTTTGATAAGCACTTACAATTTGCCTTGAAGTTGCATTTTTGAATGAGGTTTTAAATACCCGCTTAGACCAGTACATACTGGTGATGTCTGTTATCATTGGAAAATTTTATAGGAAACTAAATAGTGACGTATATGCTGAGATTTAAATCCTGGTTAATAAGTAGTTTCTAGTTGGTTAAATAGGAATCAAGGATAAGGTTTTGATTCAGTTCAGTTTTTGGGTTCCATTGTAGAAACAGAATTTTACACCACATTTGGGTGAGGACAGATATTGATGTTTTCTTGAGTTCAACTAGTATAATCTATCATGATTAAAAGAATTATTTGTAGTTCAATAGTGGCATGTAGATGGGTTGGTTGGAGCTAGCATCGGTCAGGTCCTTTGAAGTATTGATTTGTTAGTGGTCATTGCAAGTTATAGCTATCTTTGAAAGCTTGCTGAAAAGCAATAATTTCTGGATGACTAGACATTAAAACGGCAATTGACAACAAAAGATGAAAGATACGAATGAGGGAGGAAAAATGGGCTGTGATTATGTGTTGGTCGCCTCAAGCCCATGACACACAATAAGGTCCATAGTGATATGTTACAAAAGGCTGGTTTAACTTTTTCTGTAAGTTCCTCTTCAATGGAAAAGCTCCTGATGCGGTATAGAACAGAAGTCGATTTTTATCCCAAACAAAAGCAGTAACACAAAGATAAAAAAAGGTTACCCCACTTGATGTTTGTTCCCTTTACCATCCCCCACAATCTCTCCCTGAGCAAATTTGTTGTCATCAACTGTAATTTTGGATTTTTTGCTTTTTGACTAATGATATATCACATGTCTCATTTTCATGGTGATATGGAAGATTGATCACATGTTTTTTTAATATTTTTTGTTTAGTTGGTATACTTCATGTTTTGTGGACAGATGTGACCTTCCTTGTAATGTGTCGACGTTATATGACTTCACTTTATGTGAAATTATGTAGTAACTCTATAAACATTTGGTATCTGGATCATTGTTATGGTAAGTTATATACTTCTATAATGCAAATCATGAATTTATATTAACATTCTGTTTTGACCTTTTGACACTCGTTAAATCTGAAGCTTCCACGAATTTTAAGGTCTAGAGAGAGTCAATATTATCCTGTGTTTGTATACATACTTTGTCTCATATTCATTGTGTATGCTGATAGTAAGCTTGTTTTGCCATATGTGAGGTGTTACCTCTCATGTATTCAAGGTGTATGCACCATGTACTTATATCGCATGATATTAGATACTGATAAGTGCAACGTGGAAATTTGTATATTTGAAGAATAAGAAAACAAGGTCTTGATTATGCTTTATTGAAATTGGTACTTGTAAATTGACTCCTTATTGTTTTCTTTTCAGTCTTGTAAATGAATAGCTGTGGAACTTGTAGTCTATGTTATGACACAGTCTTTCTTACTTTTCAGATATTTTAACTGCTATACGGTCAATCCCTATGGGTCACAATGTGAGTATGAAGCTTGACTTAACCTTCTATCTACTTGAACATTCCTTCTGGTTGTGGAGGATATGAATTTTCAGATGTTCAAAGATTTTTCATTTGATTCCTGAATGCTGGATTTATGAGTTATTTTTAGGTCAAATTTCATAATCTGGTCAAGTTTGTTAGAATGCCTTAGATTCAGTATAGAATATGTATTGATTCTTTTATCAAATCCACCATAAATTACTAAAGTTCTGATTGCAACAATCCCATGTCTCTTTGTGAAGCGGCCTACAGCCATGCATCAGTACATTATTGTTCTACCATCAATTAAAGGCATGGGAAACTTTTCTATTGATGTAAGAAATGTATTTGATTAAGCATTGATGTGGACCCCAAATAATGAAATATAAATTTCATGATGAACTGAACACATATTGGTTGTGTAATTTAATTCTCTTTTTAAGCCTTTATCTAATAGTGGTCACATTCAGTCACAGTTTTAACAAATTTGTTTTCCTTCGTGTAGGGAGTCTCAGAAAAACAAAGGGATGTTCTTGGTAAGTTGCCATTCTAACTTGTTGTACCGTTCAAAATTCAATAATGTCATTCTTTTACCAAAACTCTCTCATTGTACTTCTGTTTAATCTGCAGATACTGTAATGAACATCTATATCAACACCATGACCGAGGATGATGACAAGGAAGTTGTTGCTCAAGCATGCATGGGCATGGCAGATATCATGAAGGAGTGTGGATACATGGTTATTGAATCTTGTAAGCTTTTTTTTGTGGAGCCACCAAAGTATGTAATGTCGATTTGTTACATAAATAGTCTATAACATATATTCTTTTATCAGATATTCCTAGGATTGCTGAGGCAACTCTAACGCTTCTACGTGAGGAATCATCATGCCAGCAAGTAGAGTCGGACTGCGATGCTGATGATGGTGATGTTGACCATGATGAAGTCCTCATGGATGCAGTGTCAGATCTTCTTCCTGCTTTTGCAAAGGCGATGGGATCTCATTTCGAACCAGTTTTTGCTAAGTTATTTGATCCTTTGATGAAATTTGCGGTAGGAACCTTTGTGCTCTAGCTTCTCTCAAGATATTCATTTACCTTTATGAATTCATGTGTTTTTTTGTGTTTATTTTGAAGTGTTAATTACTGTGTGGACACTTCACAGACTTAGCTATCATGTTTAAATGTCTGCAGAAAGTTCCACACCCTTCCCAAGATAGAACCATGGTTGTTGCATGCTTGGCTGAAGTTGCTCAAGAAATGGGTGCGCCAATTTCTACTTACGTTGATGTAAGGAAATTACATGTTTTATGTAATAACATTTTACATATTGTTTGTATATTTGTTGACTTTATGAATGATACTATTACTCAGAGAGTGATGCCTTTGATATTGAAAGAACTTGGATCATCAGAGGCAACCAATAGGAGAAATGCTGCATTCTGTGTTGGCGAGTTTTGCAAAAATGGGGGTGCTGCGACACTGAAGTATCCTTTTGTCTCTACTTGTTTTATGACTCTATGTATCCTTTTGTTCCATTTCCTTTTTTCCAATTATATATATATATATACATACATATACATATATATATACATACATATATATATATATATACATACATATATATATACACATATATATATATATACATACATATATATATATATATATACATATATATATATACATACATATATATAAATATATATATATACATACATACATACATACATATATATATATACATATATATATATATATATATGTATATAGGTTATTAAAGATATGTCAGACCTCATTTTGTTCCCTTTCATCATCTCTAGATATTATGGGGATATTCTTCGGACTCTTTACCCATTATTTAGCGACTCGGAAGCAGATGATGCGGTGTGTGATAATGCTGCCGGTGCAGTTGCTAGGATGATAATGGTGCAACCCCAATCTATTCCTCTCAACCAGGTTTGGGTTCATGTAACACTTATTTGGAAGTCAAATGCGGTAGAGGCTCAGTCGGTGAATGTTTCCCCAGGATCTACTTGATTGGTAAAAAAATGCTGTTTTCACATTTTAGGTTCTACCCGTGCTTCTGAAAGCATTGCCTCTGAAGGAGGATTTCGAGGAGTCGATGACTGTTTACAGTTGCATCTGTCATCTAATCTTATCTTCTAACTCGGTGGTATATCAGACATGATGACCTTTTATTATTGCTTTTCATTAATTACTCAGTGCAACTAAACGTTTGTGTTTAATCAATCGAGACAGATCATTCCTCTGGTGCCAGAAGTGGTAAATATTTTTGCTCAAGTTATCGCATCGCCTGTGGAGAGAGAAGAAGTGAAAAACCGGATTGGCATGGCGGTTTCTCACTTGATTTCAGTCTATGGTAATCAAATGCAGCCTGTGATGGCTGCTCTCGCACCTGCACATGCTAATGCTTTGGCTGCATACCTTAGCAAAAGGTGACAAATAAAGAACCATACACACATAGCAAAGTAATGTTGGAGCTACTTGCGTGGATTGCTGATGTGGTCTTTTCCTTTTTGGCGGCTTTTCCATGACTATTTTTTGGTGTTAGTTATGTATTTAATTATTCTTTATATCCATATAAGTGTGAGTGTTTTTTGTTTGGTCAATTTTACCAATAATCAAGTGGAGATTTACTATTTTTACATGAGTTTGATTGAAATATTTGTTGTCATATATATATTTTTGCCATCATGGTTTTGTCAATTATCCTTTTTTTTCTCCATATTTTTAATTGATTTGGAATTGATGCATAAAGCAGTGAAAGGAGACCATATGAGGATATATATGAGGATATATTTCATGAAATATATATCATGCAGCATCTCCAAACTACAAAGTAGCTTATAAAAAAAAAAAGAATATTTCATGGAATAGAACTACTATATACAACTTCCATAATCGAAATGATGCCTAATAAAATTGGAACAATGGACAAGTCAAGAGGGCAAGAGGAACAAAATCAACAAACTCTTTTATCTAATTAATATCAATCTTTGTATCAATAATGATAGTCCTCAAATGCTCACTGTGATCTATCTATTAGGGTTCGCCAAGAGAATAATTATCTCTTCATCATCCACGTTGCCACCCTCCAAGGCATACTGCAACGCTGTTCTACCATCCTCATCGATAGCACGCGGGTTGGCACCCCTGCAAAATTTCAACATGTCGCAGTGCATAAACAGAGATAAATAACATACATCCATAGCAGACAGGGCAATATATCTAGAATATGTTAGGGCTAGCCCGGGTATATAATATTGTGGCAAGGGAACAATCCATGAAATGAACACTAGTTACAACAACTCAAAAACATAAATGGCAGCTCCAAGTGGACTATAATGATCCTGGAATTTATGGTCTATGAAGGATATATAAGATGGGCAAGCTGAACAATAATAAAATGTAAAATTGATTCAATACAGAAATAGGATGTGTAAGTATCACCAACTCAAAAACTCTTCGATCATTAATCGCAGATCCAAGTGGTGTATAATGATCCTGAAATTTATGGTCTATGTGGGTAAATATGATGCACAAGGTGAACAAGCAACCTTTTCTAATCAGAGGGTTGTTAATGTTAAGATACTGCGACCTTTTCTATTGCAGTCTTTAGAGTGAAACCTAACTATTTCCTGAAAAAACTGCAATCGGCTCATAGTATTTTAAAACAGATGCTATGTTATGAAATGAAGTCTCACCTTGTCAGCAGTAGTTTGGCGAATAACTGTCTGCCTCTTAGAATACAGTGGTGAAGTGGTGTCCTTCCTTTGAAATCAGTGGAATTTACATTTGCACCATACTGTAAGAGTAGCTCTACCATGCCTATATCTGAAGTTAGGCAGGCAAGATGAAGAAGAGTGAAGCCTTCCAAGCATTCATCCACTTCATTCCTGATGTCGCTGGTGCCCGAAGAGCTAATACAACTCATCGTTGAAGACATTTGCAAGGACTTACCTAATAAACAGCTAGATCTATGATCATGCGCCACACTTGTCTGATCTGCCAGAAGAATAGTGTTTTCAAGAGTTAAAGAAGAATTTATCGATGCCTGTCTATAAGTGATATTGACATCAGCATCCAAAGCCACAATATGGTGGTAGACTGCTTTCGTGTCATTGGCACAGACACTGTCCCACATTTGTTGTGCTTTTGAAAGCTGATCTGCGGTTTTATGGACAAAATGCTTTTCTGCATACTGGTAAGAAAAAAAAAAACATGTTACAGTATTCCAAGGAACTTTTCTCGAATCACCTCACAATAATTTTAGTTGTGAATACAATTTTCAAGTTAAACAGGAACTAGAAATTTGAAATCAAACATAAATAATAAAGTCAGAAAATTTATCAAAACCTATCATATATGCACATGATATTCATGCATTGAACAATCCTTGTGAGAATTGTCTACGATAAAGCTACACTAGAGGGGAAAAGGAAGATAAATCTGAGTCAAATATCAGATGAGGGTAGACCTAAGATGCTGTATGTTTGGGCAAACAAAGTGCAGAAAGTAATATGGCACCAGACATGTATACAAGAACATGTTTTCTAAGATTCAGTAGCCTCTAAATAGCACATATTGAATTGCACAGGTGTCCTTGAAAAACACCACTTCCCTGACAATTTAATCAAAAGCAGTTCCTGTAGAAAACAATTTTCAGCATTTAATGGAAAAATGCACTTTTCCAGTAACTATCACCAAGAATATAATATTTTATCTTGCAGTTGGCCTCGAAGTACCTGGGAATACCAGAGTCCATTTTGTCATGCATTGAAAGCAATAAAGTAAACTTTCATCTTTGCCTGTCTAGAAAAATATTAAAACTGCATTATAAGGGAATTTTCCAGTCCATTATAATTAATGAAACATGAACCACTTTAGTGAAGATTGTAGTTATCGAAAGAATTAGCAGAAAACTTCCAACTTATTTTCTATTTTATGTCAATATACAGAATTTTAAGATATGTAATCACTTTGGGGAAGAGTAGGTGATTATGCCCAAGATATAGAAAGTAGTCCCATCATCATAATGGATATCTATCAGATGCTAAAAAGTGGCTGACAAGTAGCATTTTCACTTTGTACAATGTTTTGTCAGCATATCCCAAAAAACTTGGTGTTCTCCCTAATTCCACCAGACAGCTTTCTTCTACAGTAGACTAAGAATCAGTTTACATAAAATTTTTCATAATGTGAAATAAATGGTAAAGCCCAAAGCTGCTTCCAATGATATGTATTGAATGTATTCAATAAATACAAAGCGGGATCTTGATTGAGTGAATTGAGATTGACAAGTAATTTGTATGATACCTTTGCTTGAATGAACTTCTCCTTAACTGCAATTGGATCTGAATGTTTAGGCTTGCTGATATAACAATGCTCTTGATTCCTGTCAAGTGTACACAAACTGCATAACAAGCATATATATGAGAAATTTTGTTAATTGCAAGAAAATTTCGGCCAGGTTTTCCAGGTTACGAATATTGTTACCTAGAGACATCCCCAGATTTTCCATTACTTGTAATCAGAAATGATTCCTCCCAGATGGAGTTGGCAAATGTGTTACCCAACGATCGAAACAGACTAATAACAGAAGGGTCCCAGACTCTAACATCAAGCGTTAGAGATCTTACCTGTAAACATGGACATAAACATTTAAAGCTATTTAAGAACCAAAAAGAAAGCTGACCAGATACAGCATAATTATTAATCGGCAATCAGTTCAAAATCCTTCAGCATAGACTATTTTTTCTATTAAAAAGAAGATTAGAATTAATTGCAGGCACTCAAAGTGTGGCACAAATGGAATTTCAGAAACCACGGAAATCATTGATGCAGAATTTGCTTCCTTCAGGGAAAAGAAAGTTCCATATCCCTAGGACCAATGCAATATAAAAGCAAATCATACATATTGGCATATTGCATCATTTAAGTTGGTTTTCTGATAAGGTGCATTACGTTTACAACTAGTCAGCCGAGTTCTGAGTGTAACTTCAGAACAGTCACTAAGGTTTGGGTTGGTTGGAGCGTCATTATGAGGCATCAAGGGCTGAACCCTCATATATGTCTCTATATAATGGTTTGCAAGCATTCACAAGTAGTTAAAATTTGAATACTTCTTCGAGGTGATATGGAGCACAGCTTGTTTGGTCTAATTGGGTTGTTGACAAGTTCTTACTAAAACTCTATTATTTAGCCTAGAAAAGAAGCCTATGACGAGAGTTTCAGAACGAATGCCCTAGCTTGCCTGTTGGGTAAGCACTTTTAAGTCATACACGTAATGGTGTGTTTAGTTGCCTGTGATTCTGATTACATGTTACAGCTTGCTACATATTATTGGTTAGTCAAATGCAGATATAGTCTGCAACACAAAACAAGTGCTTAGTTGCCTATGAACAAAAGTAGTCTTAACTCTCCATCATTACTCTATGATTTTTCTAGTAACTTCTAATTTCACCTAAATATGAAAAGGTCTACAACAACATGGAAATGACAACCTCTGTTATTAGGGCATTTATCATCTGAAAGTCACTAAATGCAAAAAGATTGACATTTAACACAAGTTCCTTGTGATTAACCGCTAAACTCCTTTGTACTAGGGAAAAGGTACTTGAAATTACACCAAGAAAAATGAAGAAACAGCTCATCAAGTAAGAAGAGTTTGTGTTTCAACAAAAGAACTAAAACATATAGACAAGAAAGCGGTTACCAACAAATTCATTTTTCCTAAATACACATTCCTGAAACATTAGACAGAATCACCATATACGTTGGTGTGGTATCAACCCAAGGCTTACCTTTGATATATGCACACCAAGATTCCGGTGAACCCCAGAGCACTCAATGCAAAGAAGAATTCCAAGGTTCAGGGATGCCCAATCAGGTTCAGGAGCACCACAGTCAGCACATTCATCATTGCCACATACTTTTCGTAGCACATCAATTGGTTTCTCATGCTTTGAGTTAAATCTATAATGTTGTGAGCTTCTAATACATCGATCAAAATGCCCACTAACACTGCTCTTTTCCAATGAGGAATCTTCATTTGCTAACTGATCAAGATCGGATGAGCTACCTAATGAGCTGCTTTCACTGGCTGCTCGATGGTGGCCACCACCCATGGGGCTTGTAAGGAGGTGCTGAAATTAATTCAAGAACAACTTTTTAAATTGATTCATTGACTATCTGGACATGCTAGCACATAGATGCTTCCTCACCAACCTGTTCAGGTGACTGAGAGTTCAGCAGAGAAGCAATAACACCAGTTATTTTTTCAATCCAATCCATTTGATCCATGGCGTTCTCGGCCTGCAAACAATAAAAATAAAAAAACCTATTGATTAGTCCATGAGAGAAGATAGCTTTAACATATAATGATGATGAAGACAATGTAAACATCAAGTTCAAAACAATAGACAAAAGGGCTCATTTGAAGCAAGTACACAACATATTCCACCCCACTAGACACATATTAATTGAATTACAAGCTTGTCTCTTCCTGAAGGCCTCACATTCTACCTGCAAAGTGTAATTCTTTGTTGGTGAAATAATCCTGAAGCAGAAACGCAGGTCTGACTGGTCTGCATCAACTTTTATTGTCGATGTGAGTAAGTTTACAGTGTGACGTGCAACAGATTTCTCATCATGTACACCACCATGATAGTGAGAAGAAAACCATCGACTCA